AATTTAAATTAATATTAATACTCGTAGGCACTTGATGTATTTCTCGGACTTGAATCAAACTAGGATTTTATTTATATCATGCCGCAGTGGCGTAGTATGAAATATGATGGCTTTAAGCATATATTGAAGGAACTTGATGCCTTCTTAAACACAGAAATTATAAACAGTGATGTTAGAAAGAGTTTAATGCTAGAAGCTAATAAAATAATAATAATATCATTGTTTAATTGGGTACTTATAAATTTATTTAAAACAATAATATTTTTTTTCGAGCTTTTTTGCAACGAAAAACAGTCAATGATAATTCAAATTTAAAATATGTAAAAATAATATCTTTTATAGGTATTCAAAATAATTTTAGTTACTTTACTTAAATATAATAAAAATAAATTAAGTACATTTATACATATGAAAGTATCTAATAGAATATCATCATTATTATCATTATGTTACACTATATTATGCCAAACAGCATAAGGAACTGATTAGGCCAATAATTATATTCATAGCAATAATAAAAATCTGATTTCTTCTATAGATATCACCTAAAATCATATTTGTTTAACCGTCTAGGTATGTCTTGTAAGTTGGTTATAAATCTTTAATTACGTAATATAATATATTGTTATAAAATATTGGCTACACATTAGATAACATTAATAATTTAAATATAAGGATATTTTTAATTTTTTCGCGATTAAAAAATATTCAAACAATAATTTACTTAATAATAATTAATTTATCTATATAATTTAAATTCTTAATTTTCAATTATTTTTGTAATTATAGTTTATGTATTATGTATATAATTCAACGTTGATGGAATTGTATTAAACAAAAACATAGTTTTCATGGCTGAAGCTTACCTTCACTAAAAAGTAAGCGTAATTGATTTACTGGCTTAAAAACATAAGGAGCGAAATTGGTACACTGATCCTTATATAAATACAATTTTATTTTTAGGCAAAACCGCGTTATTGTAGGTCCAAACATAAACCAGGTTCTTAAAGAACTTTTTTCTTTTATCCGATCGGCGTTTACTAACCATTACACTAAATAAATAAAGTATAAAATCTTTAGTTTGATTTCATAATAATTTTCAGTGTCACATTTTTAAAGTAAATTTCAATACAAAGAGAATTAAATCAAATGTAGCTAGTAATAAATTAAAATTAACTACTAATATCATTTATCAAGGTTTTAAAATATGTAGATAATTAATATCCCCACGGATAAGACACTTATTAAATATGAAAATACCACTTAACGTAATTTAGGTACTTTAATTATAATTTATTATAGCTAATTATTAGTATTTACAAACTTAGTATCTGAGAAAAATACCCACGCCCTACAAAATGAATATTCTTGTTTTTGCATATTGATTAGATATAGTCGATACCTACTTAAATTGGAACAACGAAAGAAAGTGATCGCAGTTTCATAAAAATATAAAACATAAACATAATATACCTACAATTTAATAACCTATCTATTTAATCAAGTTTATAAAGATTTCTATTTTTTTAATACTTTTATAATTAAACTTAAATCAACTATGAATTTAATTAATAATTAAAATACCAAATATTTGAACAGTAAGTATATTAAGAAAAATCAATATAAGTAATTTATTTAGTATTTATAGAACATCAAAAAATTATTTGCTTAAATAAACCTTAAATCCTAGTATGACTATACATAATATTTAAATAGTGATATTTTTATGAGTTGAATTTGTTGTTTTTTTGTTTTACAAATTAAATTTAGCAGTTTTTATTCATTTATTTCGTAACTATTTTAGTATTGGCTGTAAATGAATACTTATACTTATATATACTTATATACCTTTAAATTCCTAAATTTATTTGACCACTTAAAAAAATAGTATACCATTATGTTAGATATTGAGGTTAAGTACTTATAAAAAATAATTTTTTATTTGAAGTAAAAGTAAAGTTATATTTTTTGCTAATTTTAATAAATACAATTCAAAATATAAAAATCTAAATAAGTTAACTCAAAATCTGTAAATATAAATATTATGTAAGGGTTCTATTACAAACTGAAGTGGATAAAATATCTGTTATTATTTATAACTTATGATAAATGATTTAAGTAATGTGAATGCTAATAATTAATAAATGAGTAGCTGTTGACAGATATAAATGTAAGATACGTAAATATCTATTATCTATGAATGCAGAGCAGAGATTTATTAAGTCGATAAGTTGATTAAAATAAAATTGTTATTATAATGAGTTTATTTACACGCATATATATTTATAAAATACAATATTGTAAGAAAATGTAAAGGAAAATTAAGTTAAATAACTAAAATAAAATGTATTAAGAAAAAAATCCCATTCAATTTTAAATATAATATAATAAAGAAACAACTCATTATATTTTACTCCCAAGACTTAAATTTATATCAGATTAACTGTTTTTATTAAAATCATAAGTTTTTACATATACAAATAAATTTTTTTTTTATGTTTTGAACTGTTCTAACATACCTATATTATTTCTTTTCAATATAAAACAATTTTCAAGTATTTAGAGCATGCATTTAATAGTAAAAATATTGGCAAGCGAGGTCTGACTGTAAATTTTCACACCATTAAATTTAATAAGACAAATTAAATTTTTTTTTTTACTATAATATTTGGTAAGCTTATACATTTTTGCTTTTATCATAATTAAGTTTTTTGGTTATTACCCATTTATTAAAGTTGTATATTATATTAAAAATCGTATTATAAAACATATTCGTGTTTGTTGTACATATTGCGTATACCCATTAGATAAGAATAGTATATATAGGACTTAAAATTATTGTTGTTATTATTCAGTCAGTATATATTATCTACTAATATATTTTGAAAAAAAAAAAACATTATTTTAGATTACAAGTGGAGAGATTTTATTTTATTTATAGTAATATATTTTTTTTATGAGTGTATAAAGATAAATAGTCGATAAAATACTTCGATATTCAAATTATGAGAGTGATTTTTGAAAGAAAATGTTATCTACGTAGTTTGTACTTAAAAAAGGTCAAACTTAAAAATTCTTAGTATTTTTCAAAGTAATTGGAAAAAACAAACGAAAAATGAAAATAAAAAATGAGAAAACAGGAATTTGTACGTACTCAGTTTTGGGAAAATTGATTTTTATTTAAACTTAAAAGTGAATAACTTAAGATTCTTGAAACTTTCAATAAATATTTATATTACTGTTTCTTACACATATTATAACTTTTAAGTTATTTATAGATAATTACATTTTTATTTTTTATGAATTTAATATAGTATGAATATATATTTTTATAATAAATAAGTATTAATAATGTAACAAACGCAACAATTTCAGCGGAAGTTATAACATAATAACTTAAATACTAAAAGTAAAATAAATGACTTTAATAATCATATTAAAAAAACATAATATTATATACTATGTAATATAATATACTTAATGAAATAAGTTGACAACAGTCTCTTAGAATCGTTTTTCATTTACAAATTACAATAATATATATGTATATAAATTATTGAATTAAAAATATTAAAAACATCCATTATTGAGACTCACTAGACACAATTATAAAGTTAAGTGCGGTACCCACATGATCACATATTTATCTTTTTTAATTTTTATATATACCTAGTGTTCTAAATGATCGGAAAAATTTCATCAAAAACTTGTTTATATGTTTTAAAAAGTATTTTGAAAGGAACAATTATTTTTGTTATACTACTCCTATTATTGTGAAGTCACAAATATATCTAAGATTTTATTTTACAAGTATTATAAATCTTACCATTTATAAATAAAAGTAATCACATATAATATTTAATTTTACTATTAATTACGACCAAAGGGGTAAATAATAGAAAAATAAGTGATCAATTTAATATTAACTAAAAAAAATTATAAAATCAGTATTAATCAGTATTTAAATCGTACTTATACTATTTACGAATATAAATGAAATCCAGAAGGTTAACATGATTATACACAGAGTGTATACAAATTTACTATTAAATAACTAATAATGCTAGAACCTTAAGTTTAGGTAAACAATAATCAATATTTTATCATTAATTAGTTAATTAATGTACTGGAGCTATAAATATTTGTTTTAAAAGATACTGAAAAAAATTATGCCTTGAATAGTGATAAACAATGTTTAGAAGCATACCGATAACGATGTGTTTGACCATTTTATGTAGGTAAAATCAGAATAATTTTCTACTATAGTGCCTAGTAACTTGGCTTTCACAAAATGCCAAATACACTTATGACACTTGTACTCGTTTTCGACTAGTTTTATGAACTTTACATCGTTTTGAAAGGATATTACGATAAGGTTTGTATATGAATACCATCATCTAAAGTCATCGTCACCTAGAGGATACAGTTAAAATAATAAAATGACTATTTGGTCATTAATTTAGCAGCAACGGCAAATCGTATAAGGTCACATTATTGGAATACTAGAGTTAGGAGATCGGAATCCAATTCACTTTCACGGTGAAAACAATTTCTCCGAGACAATATGTCAACGAGATTACGGTGAACCTGAAAATGTGATCCGTTGTAAAAATTGCGATAATTATATCTTGTGTCCTTGGCGGGAAAGCTGCGGATAGTGTACGAAAGCCGTAGGTACTCGCCGGCAGATATTTTAGATACCTACACAATAATATGAATATCGATGATTTCGTATTTTCTGGCTAGGTTTGGAAATGAGAAGAGGTATGGGAAGAGAGAGAGAAAAAAGAGAGATGGATATATATATATATAGAGAGAGAGGGATAGAGAAAGAGAGGAGGTGAGTGAGAGAGAGTGAGAGAGAAAGAAAGCGAGAAAGAGAAAAAATCGAGAGAGAGAGAGAGAGAAATTGATGTTCAAAATATTGGTGGGGTAAAGTGAGTGGTATCCAGGAACTTATAAATATTGGTTGGCCAGTGACCCAAATATCATTCGTACATATCCGTCGTGACCTTGGTCGTGTGTGCCGGGCATGCCATCTTCTTCACCGTTCAGTAGTATAGTAATAGCCAGTTTGTTTATCTACACCTAGCCAGTGCTTTTCTATCGCGCGAAGTTTAAGTTCAACACACCTTCACACGCGTTATTAGTCGTCGGTCATGGCCGAATGCTGAACGATACTAAACTATAATTTATTGGAATTTACGTAATATAATCAATTCAAATTCAAAGTAAGTACATTAAGTATTATTACATTATCGTTATATATGGTATAGTTGAAAATAATTACGGAAATCGTAGAAGAAATGCATAACAATCGGAATATGATAGACATATATGTGTACTATATTATACTTGGATTGGATTTTGGTTTAACAGTTGTGTTTTTTTAAAATTTAAAAAGTTCAACAATTTTAAATTAGTATTTACAGATCTAGGTAGGTAATAGAACAATGCATTATTAGAATATAGATGTTGTTTTTTGAACTTTCCATGTAGTAGTTTTCAATAAAACTATAGTGTTTGTTCTTTTTTTTTTAAATAATTAGTCCCTGTACATTAATTTACCATTTGAGTGTTTAGTATGAAATACGGTTCAACTATCAGATAAACAATAATAAATTAACTATTTCAGATAATTATAATAAACTGTTAGAGTAGTAAGTATATATTTTTACGTTCATGGCGTTTTTTTACAGGGAGACTTCACAGTTTTTGGCCTTTAATTTATGATAAATAACAATTTTTACCTATGTAAATCATCACACATGTAGTATACTCAAAAAAAAAAAAACTGTGTATTCATACTTTTATAGTGTAATTCGGTAAATATTTTTGTATGAGTGACAAATTAATGGAACAATTTTGTGTAATCTTCTTACAAAAAAGGTGCTATGAACTAAAATTATACTTTTAAAAAAATACTATGATAATAATATATTACACAATTTAGGTTAGATATAAAATTAACATTTGTTAGGTTTATTAAATAGTTCTTGCATAGGTATAATATTAGACCGATTGTTAAGAATTCGTTTAATTTAACAATTTCCAAATACTATTTAGCTGGGTGTTTGTCGTATATACAATTAATTATGATTATTTAATATGGACCTAGTAAACACATTTCATTATCGTATACTTACTAGCTTGGTGCACATCGTAATAACAATAATATATCCTGGTTTGTTTTACTGACCGGGTTAATATGTATACAAAATTTTACGGTTCTTCGCACTTTCTAATTCAATTTTTTTAAATGCACACAGAAAATATTTTTAGTGAATTGTCCCGATAGAAGAATAGCTTATTATGAGTTACAACAACTGAATACTAATGATGATTATTTTCGTTCGTTCCGAATACATAAGTTGAAATTGACCGATTCGACGTTTAATAAATTTGTCATATCATTGTGTGTATGATCTATTTAACCGTGAATGTATTGGTAAATTTAATTAAAAAGTATACCTTACATAATTTTTGTTTTATATAATTAATAAATTTATTATAATATCATGAGTAGATAACATTGTATTTTTGAAGCATTAGTTTGACTTATTGAACTATGTTTAAAAATAGACAGTAGGTAACTTACTGCGGTTTATTAAATAATTAAGTTATATTCATGGTATAGCCTGTAGGTACATTATATCTTATATCAGTATGATATATTAGCGTAAATATATGCTGTCAACAATGTACGCGATGTAACACATGTACCTATTATTTTATTACGATAAAAATTTACAAGTAGTCAGACTCCCACGTAAATAGATATAATGCAAATATGTGTATGGTTATGATGAGTTATGAATTATGATGAGTATGAGTAATAAATATTATATATTTAAATAGCAACCTACCAGTCACTAGTGACCATCAATCATTTTATTATATTATAAATGTATAATACTTAAACATCAAACACAATACAAGAAAACACATAACTGCCTTGTCCATTATTATTGTTTAATAGTTTTCATTTGGGGTTATACTTTTTATTGATGCACATCATCATTTATATAAGTCTAAGTATTTTACATATACATACGCTCATTTAAAACTAATAACAAATTATTTACATTTTTTCACGGACACAAAACACGCACACGACTAATACCTTTACTAAATGTTAATTTAATATTGAATACAACTTATACATATATAATAATTAGATAACGATATAAGTCCGACGTGATTTTTCATCTGCGATTTTCGATGGACAAATATTTATTTATATTTTATATGTTACATTTGAAGTGTTCAACCACGTTATTTAAATTTTTATAATTTTAATAAAATACTTGAATAATAAATTTTGTTATTGAGCAAATAAACTAATTTCATTTATTTTTAGTTTTATTATTGCAGTACAAAATTTAATACGTTTTAAGCATTGTATTTAATGTGCATGATACTCGATAAGCTTATATAAATATTTATTATTATCAAACTTTAAATTTTAGATACCTAACAAACATAATATAATATAGTAGGTTTAGTGAGATATTAACCTTTAATCGGAGTCGCTATTTCAATTTAATGTATAATATTGCTAATAAATAATAACACATATATAGTTGGACATTTTTAAAAATGTTTTTGGAAAAAAGTTCTACGTAGCAGCAAACGTATACTTCATTGTGTCGCTTTATATTAATAAATAATAAATAATTTAATTATTAAACAAATTTTCTTCGTTTATTTTCATCGCTTACCAAAACGATTCATCAAGATCATCATAGTTGCACGTTAACGGATTCAATACGTACACACACACACACACACACACACATTCGTGCGCGCGCGTGTTTTTCTATGTGTACCAATGGTTCCGATTAGCTAGCGAAAGCAGTCTATAGACTTTCTTGCGTATGCGTGTGTTATACAGATAAACCGGATAATAATAATATACATCTCTAACTGAACGATGTCTTGTGCAGTAATTATATTATAAACCACTTTCTTTCCGGTCGCACCCGAAATACAGATCCACACTATACTTCACGTATACCTATAATATCCACAATTTCACTGTAAAACATCGTCACCGTAGTCCGGTCAAACCACCAGTACACCAATACCTTTTCGATCGAGTTCTCTAAACGTTAATCATAATAAATAATCGTATGTTGCAATTCGAGATCGAGACTTTCACTTAGAAGTCAGAACACCATCCTCATAGCCGATAAATCCAAAACGAAATCAAAGGTAATAAAATATTTAATTGCTACTTTCTTGATAAATCGCTGCAGTAATCCTCGAAGAATAGACGGTTACTTACTGATAAAAATTTAAATAAATAGCTCGATTACAAAATTTGAACTTTTGAAATTTAAAAACTTTGGTTATATGACAACCCTATAATAAAAGAATAAATATCTCATATTTGTAAATTCCAAATTAAAATTCCAGTTTGTAATAGGATTAAAGATAATATACCTATATTTGTATAATGTTTAGATCTATGCATTTATTATATATAAGACTAAGTACTTGAAATATGTTCTAAAACTTAAGTCTGCTTCACAGGAAAATAAATTACAATTTGTTTACATTTTTCAGATGAAAGTAGCACTAGTTATTTTAACGCTTGTGACTACCATGGAGCTGGTACTAGGTGTACCGATCTATGGTCCACCGCAACCGTTGCCGATTCCGCACAAGTACAGGTCTCCAAATGGAGCACCCTTCCCCGCCAAATATCCTCCTCATCTTAATGGTCAACCGGGAAAAAACGAATTTTATTCGAAATTTAATCCTCATTCACTGCCACCAGGCTTACGCGGGCCTGCACCCCAACAGCCACCGCCTTTTGCTAAATATCCTAATCAGCCATCTCCTGGAAAACATCAACAACAGTATCAACAACAAAACCAACAACAACATCAACCACAACAACATCAACTGCATTATCATTCACAACAGCAACAACAACAGAAACATCAACAACAACCACATCACCCACAGGTCAACAATAGACCACTAGGACCACAGTTCCAGTCGAAACCACACTTGTTGCAAAACAGCGCTCCTCATCATCCTTCTCAACAAGGTCAAGTTAATAATAATCCTGAACAGCGAGTACAATTAGTATCATCGCGGCCCACCCCTAAGATAACCAACGTCTGGACGGGACCTAAAGTTTCCGAATCACCGGAATTACCAACACGTTTCTCCGCTGCCGCCACTCACATAGCTCCGGTGACTACGGTTCCGTTTTTGGAAAAACCCAGAGGACCTTACATAATCAACAGCGATGATGAAAGGGGTCCTATTAAGACCATACCGGCGCCGAACCTCAACCCAGCAGACAAACCAGCCAACTTCGAAGAACAATTGTATAGGGCGCAACACCAACAATCATACGTTCAACCTTTAGACAATTCAATAACCGACGAAAAACTTTCGTACCAGGTATAAATATTTAATAACAGTGTCATATTTTTTATGGAATCAATAATTTATTAGTAAAGTTAATGGTTACATTCACTTTATAAGTATAATAAATTATTTGTAGTACTTATTAACTATATTACTAAACTATCTTGACATGCATAGTCTTGAATAGTACTTCAAGAAGGTCACAAAAATTAAATTATATTTTACTGCAACTTATTTTAACGTATGTATTAAGTATCTAGAGTAATAATGTTTTAATACATGGTTACTGGATAAGTCACCATAATAATATGTTTTCTATTAGCTTAGAATGCATCAGTTTACTCATTAAATATATATTGACAATAATATAATAATATAGATACTGATAGGTAGTTAATAATTATTTAAACATTATCAAACAATTTTCTTTAAAATATACATTCGTGAAAATATTAGTATTACTTTCTCTTAAAAAAAACAAGAATAGAAATTATGAAGAAATAAAAACGAAAAATCAAAATTTAAATTTATATGTCATATACAATGATAAAATTAAATATTTAATGTCATTTTCATAATAATAATGTGGCATTAAATCAGAGAAAGGTAATAACGATTGTAAATACGTATAACAATCAATAGGTTCTTACATAGCGTAGTATCTAACCACTTACATGTTATTCCATTCCTTGACAGTCGGTAAATTCATTTACAAGTGCACGCGAGATATACAGGAAACATATTATTAGAAAATGTACAAAAAATTTTTTTATAATAACCGTTAAAAAAAGATTAATGATTTCTTATGATTCCATACGTAACTTAACTATTTCACTGAGGGTTTATTTCTATTCTTTTTTATAGATACAATTCGTTTTCCATTTGAATAGAATAAAAATAAATAAAATTAGATAGGTAGTTACTATAATTGATATCGAGAAGTCGATGTTATAATATAACAAAGTTCAATAAAACTTGTTAATTTATTTTTTATTTCAGAATAATAAATAATACAATTTTTCAATTTTCAATTCTAATTCTTAAAATTGATTGAAAAATGAAAACATGTTACTGGTGTTTTAGATACCTTAGAACACAATTTTTTGAAATTTTATAAAAGTAAAAACTACAAGAAAATTGAAAATGTTTATTAGATTTGTAGCATTTGTGTTCAGTTAAATTTATAGTTTATGAGATTAGTTTTACTAAATAGTAGAGTGTAATATAAGCTAATTTAATTTAAAAGTTAAAAATGTTATCTTGAAATCCAGATTTGCAAAAATCGTTTGATTTTTGTGTTTTGTTTTACTGTAAAATGACATAGATAAATTTAGTTTAATAACGAATGTACCTAAATAATTTAATAAATATTAAATACCATTAATTTATTAACATTAAATCAATTAATGCGAGAGTTATTGATATTGAATACCGATAACAATATTAATTGGATACAACTATTTGCTATTCTAATCCGAACAATTGAATCATTGTATCACAATTATTGTTTTAGTAAACACTTATTGTTGCCAAAAGGAACACGACGAACGTGATGACAATTTTTAATCTCAGTGATTTGTAGTGAATAGGACATTTATATTTTACTATAGTCATATTATTACATTACCTACGTCGGAAGTAATTCTCACATCATACCGTGTTTCAGGTAACCGAAGACCCGAACGTTTACAAACAATTTAACGGCCAACCGTCTTACAAAGAACCGTCCAACACGGACTCCAACTCCGCACCGGCCGTGCCGCTGGACATCGCCCTGCAACAGCACTTGGATAACCAACATCAGCAACAGGTATCGGCCGAGCAGGTCGGATCGACGGGCACGTTGACCCCCCAAGAGTTGTACTCGCTGTTGAACGGTAACCCATCCGGCGCCGCCGCCGCCGCCCCGGCCGTGGTACCGCAGACCACGTACATGGTACAGCAACCCGTCATGTACGCCGTACCGCAACCACAGCCTTTGGACCTGCAAGTCGGTCACCAGCTCCAGTACCAGGCGCAACCGGTGCAGTTGCAGTACGCACAACAGCCCGCGGCCACGGGCGTCCAGTTGCAGTACGCGCAACCGGCCGCCGCCGAACTCCAGTACTTGCAGCCGCAAACTGTCCAGTACCAGCCACAAGCTGTCCAATATCAACCGCAAACCGTCCAATATCAACCGCAAACCGTCCAATACCACGTTCAACCCGAACACTTGCAGCAGCAGTACCAGCAGCAACCGGCGGAACAGTACAACGGCGCGCCGCAGACGACCGCCGCCGAAATATCAGCGCAAAAACAACAACAGCAACAGGAGCTGATACAGCAGCAACAGGAACAACAGCAGGAACGACAGGAGCAACAGCAACGCGAGCAGCTAAAACAACAGCAACAGGTGGAGCAACAGCAGCAGCAGCAGCAACAGCAGCAACAGCCGGACAACGACGTGCAGTACCAACAGGAACAGAACGACTACGAGCCCAGGAACAACGGGGACAAGGGATCGGCCGAACAGCCTCTGGTGGCCGGCGACGACGGCGGGCGCGGCGATCAGAAGAAGTTGCAGGACATCAGGGACCAGTATTACTCGGCCGTTCCCAACGAACAGACGGCCAGCGTGCTGGCGCAGATCGCCCAGTCGGCGGCCAACAGCGACGCGCCGGCGGCCGACGAGCCGAAGCCCTCGGAAAATTCGCCGTCCGATCAGTCGGTGCAGATGCACACTTCGGTGCAGATCCAACAGTCGGTGCCGCTTTACGAGGCCACGTACGCGTCGTCGAGGCGCACCAATCAGGAGTACGTGGACGAGGACGCCGGGGCGGAAGAGCTGATGGAAGGCAGCGAATCGGTGGCCGTCTCCGAATCGTCGGCGCCGCCGCCGTCACAGCCGGATTTTAACGGACACGCTCCGGGTCAGTTCCCGTACAACGCGGCCAATATAAACGCATTCGCCGCCAACTAGTCCTATATTATAATGGATAGCTACGCGACAGTTTTCCCCCGACCGGACATCCGGAACGCGACTTCGGTGTGTGCCGACCAGTTCATGCGTTTTTGATAGCTATATTATATCAACACTATATATATATATATATATATATGTTATAAGACAGGCACTGTATTTTTTATGATATACTATTTTTATTATCTTTTTTTTTTTTTTTTTAATACGCCGATGTCAATATCACATTGTATCGCGGTGAAATTTATTTATTATTCTTAATTTATTTTCGTTTTAATCTATGTTCGAAACGGTCGACATCGACACTCGATAAGCGTTTCGTCGTACACGCGGACACGCTTAATTATTTATTTATTTGTACGCGTCTAGTTAAGTAATTATTAATATGTTATATTTTTTTTAAGACTAACTGCGTGAACAATTGCTCAATTTTAAAGTTATAAACCGCTGGCCATAACCACAATTTTTCTCGAAGCTAACGGGCCGAATATCTTGTCGTTCGGATCAGAACACGATTCGCGTGCACACTTGAAGTTCAATTGGTATAAATATCAATCAAGCTGAACAGTGAACATATACACCGTAGTGACTTCGCCCACAACAGTTTCCAATATTAATTTCAATAAGTAATGACATACATAAAAAACACCATGACATGTTTATTGAAAAAATTTAAGTGTACTTGATATTTGTGTAAATATAGAATATTAATTATGTAAGAATAAAATATACATTTCAAATAAATTTAATCAGAAAAAAATGTAAACATTTCGGAATAATTTGTAGAACTTAATAAAGATTGACTAAGTCACTGTGAAATTAGCTACTTGTGTTTGTAAAAGATGAATATTGCGTTAAGAATTTTTTTTTAAAAGTTACGTTCTCTTATAATTAAGCAGTTATATATAATACATATTTACATACAAATAATTATGATATATTTATGAATAAATAATAAAAGAGTGTTGGTAGTTCCATAAAATGTATTTTCCTATTTATTGTCTATGCTAGTATACTACTGAAATTAATATCATATTATGACATATGTAGTATAAGTACTCTCGATACATGACAATTATACGGAAAATAATTTTATTTAGCATAGCTTAAGGGCCCCGGTGTTAATTGTTAACACATAGTTGACCAACATTGATACTAGAATAATTAAGCATGTCTTCACCCAATATACGCAAAAAATAATCAATAGAACTTAACGCGTTAAATAATTGATTTTTAAATGCAACCACTATATTTATTATTTGTCAGTTGTCACTATATACATTATAACCAAGTTATTCTCAATTTATTGTCATTAATATTGTGTAATTCAACTGATAAATATAAGGGTAAAGACATTTAAAATAATGTATAATTTAAAAAAAAAATGTATGAATCTAAAATTTTGAAGAAAGCTTACACTTTTTAAAATAATGAGTGTTCTTTGATGAAAGAATTATCTTATTACTTTTTATACTCAATTACTAAGTATTTTTTAACATCCATTTCAATGGTTCCTCCACCAATAACGTTTGGAAATTTGATTTTGGCAAACGTTAGTGTATTGTTTGTGCAGAAATCTGCACCATATTTCATCGTTTGCAAACAAAAACTAACCGATATATTGCAAAAAGAGGGGTCATAATAACAAAAATTTGAAAATTTGATTTTAGCAAACTTTTGTGCATAGTTTGTGCTGTTTTATTCCATATGTCCTGAAATTTGTACTTTTTTAATTTATCTTTATTTATGAACTGTTATTTTTCAATAATTTTATATCACTTATAGTAACTTTTTAAAATTTTTCGTATATTTTTTTAAATCTGCTAAATACTACATATATAAAACACATGAATTCTTACCTAATATATTTTATAAAATTTTTGATATTATTGTGGATCTTATTTGCATTTTGAAAGTTTTCATTTACCATTTTAACTGGATTATCTCTATTATACTGCACACTTCGACGTATTTCTTTTTACGATTTTACCAGATGTGCATACACAAGGGTTGGGCTGAATTGTAACATAAGTCATAACACAACTTAATTTCTCATTAATGACACAAATGAGATTAAATATTTTTTTTAGTTTGAATGGAGATAATGATTTGAATTTGTAACTTTTTAAACCATAATAACTATTTAATATAATTTCACTAAAAACAAAAATAAAATATTAGATGAGTAAAATAATTTTCATTTTAAAGTTTAACTTAAACATTAGGAAATAGACATATTCTACACATTTTATAGTATGTCCAAAAGTTGTAAAATGCTATTTGTTCGGGATACCGATAATATAGCAAATCCAACGCCCGAAGTTTGTCATCTTTTAAGAGTTAGTTTACGCGTAAAAGTATATATAAAATTCAATTTCGTTCGCACTGAAATGTCAATTATAATTTTGCTATTACTTTTAAGACAATACTACCTTACCATAAAACAGTGTGAAATTGGTTCATATTGTATAAATAATTGTCGAATCCCAAACGGCTCCTGTTAAAAAAAGATTTTACAAACAGGTAAATTCCCAAACGACTCCTATCGAAAAAAAATTTACAAACGGGTATAATTGTATGATTGTAAACTCTACAATAATTATTAGACATATGCGCGCCTGTCTTCCAAAATAGCTTACATAATAACTGCGCAATGTTATTACACTCCTCCTAATTTTGTTTTTATATTTATATAGTATATACAGTTCCTGTGTATCATATTTTTAAAATTAAAATATATAAAACAGAATACCGAAAATATAGAATATATTGATAATATCGAAAAAATCGACACATTGAACTATAGGTAATTGGAAATATTGACAATATCGATAATTTTTCGATAAAAACTTTACTTATGCAATTTAGTCGAATCGTATTATTGAAATGGCTATCAAACCAAAAGACGATAAAATAGAAAAAGTTCCTCTTTTCACCTAAAAATAATTGTATTCTTTTCGCCCACGATTTCGCGTTTTAAATTTTGGAAACCACTGTCTCAAAATTAATAATTTTAAAAAAATCATATAATAATCAAATACAAAAATAGAAAAATATATAATTATTAATAATAATTAACAATAATCTAAGAAGTGTATAAGTATTTAAAATAGTGTCATCGATGTAAAATAACTAATAAGTAATTTGATCAGGTTATAACTTAAATAAATAGTTTGTTTTGTTGTTGTAAAATAATACAAATATTCATATTAATTATGACTTATGAGTAATTATAACATTTATTAAAGTGTTTTAAACTATATATTTCGATAGAGAAGTCGGCACCTTTATACACTTTCTCGACTGACTATATTAATAACAATCAAAAACCCTTCGGTGCACTAGACCGGCCAGGCCGATAACAATATCTAGATTACAAATATATTTGATATAACACAATATATTTATATATATATAATATAATTTAACAAATTTGATATCGATATGTAACAATCATAACAGCTTTAATTTTAGTATGTCGTTCACTTTTGTGCCGAATAGTGTGATTGTGATTTTTCTCGTGATTATAGTAACTAAATTTTATAAAAATGGAATTTTTAGAAAGTAAAAGAAGTGCTCGTATGGTTCTTTATAATAATTTTAAGTACAATTTTGGATCGACTAATAAAAAAGACAACTCTACCCGTTGGAGATGTGTAACAAGAACGTGTGATGCAAAATTATATACAGATAAAAATGATGCTTTTATTTCAGCAGTCGGAGAACACAATCATAATGAATATGATAAATCGAATATTAATCGCCAAATAATAAACACAGCATGTAAACGAAAATCTTTAGAAGATCTCCACACAAGACCGAAAAAATTAATATTAAAAGAAATTGCTCAAAACGACGCATCATCATATTTAAACGTAGTTGATATAAAAAGGTTAAGGAACAATATGTATAAATCTCGTGGTGCTTTAATAAAAATATTACAATGGAATATTATTTGACTGTTACAAGAATAATAGTCCATAAACATATTATAATTTGGATTGAAAAAGTAGTTCCATTAGCATTGTGTGTTTCAAGAATTACATATTGTTATGTTAACTAAATAGTACGTAGATGTTTGGAAAACATTTTATCTCAATATATTATTAGCTATAATTAGATGGCCGTTTTTATTATATTATGACATCCGTTTGTTGTTATCCATTTATACCACGAAAAATTCGTACATAAGCGGTATTGACTTTGGTGGACTTGAGGTTATAAAATTAAATTATTATTTTAATTTTTATATTACTGTCAATAAGGACTTACTGTCTACTTTCCGTGTGTTATTTTAATGGATTGTCGTTGCGGTTTTACGGTTTAGATTTAACCTACCCGTGTGCCTCTTATTTTGTTTGCGACTATTGAGTAGTAATTGTGATTTATAGTATAATATAAGAACTGTGTAGTGCGTCAGAAATTCATTAAAAGGTAAGGATAAAATAGAATAGTAGTATTAATTATTATGAATAGTATTTAAATTTCATTTATGTAGGCACCTAAAGTATATGCTATTTACCCACCTAGTACAATAAGTAAACAGTTTAACGATGATTGTAAATTATCAATGTTACTTTAAACATAATATATTTATATTCAGATATATTTATTATTTAAAATATGGCATTGCAGGGTCGTAATAGTATGAAATGGGGTGGTTGTAAAGTTTATTGGACGGTAAAGATTATAGTGTGATCCCAATAAATTGGCTGATCGAACAGATTCAGAGTAATTTGTCCATGTTCTGTTGGCATTGTAATGCCACCAAAAGAGTAACAAGGATGATTAAAGTTATTGAAGACCCAGATTATTCATGGGATTACTGTACAAAAATTAAAGTAATTTATGGCAACAAAATTTATGGTAAGATTCTACACAGATTATATTTAAATAATTTTTAATTAGTATTAATATTGCTCTATAAGCATTATTTTATAGTTAACTTAGTTACTTTCCTACTTATTTCTATTAATTCACTTTTCTGTAATAATAGTTAAATTTTCTATTAGGTCAATTTGCTAAGGTTGGCATAAGTATGTATTAGAATCAACAGATGATGAGGAAATTTAATAAAACGAAACGTTGTAGTTCTTAAGTAGTGATAATTCATGCATTGAAGGTAAACATTATTTTAGTTAAATTTATTTATTAGTAGCAATACGTAACTGAACGGAAGCACACCA